GTAAGATGGATCACTAAATTCTCCTCCTGAAACCAATATTACACTATATGTTAACTAACTAGAATTTAAGTAAAAATTCAAAAAAGAAAAAAAAATGTGATAGATATCCTTAAAAAGGAAGGAAATTCTGATATATGCTATAACATGGATGGACCTTGTGTACATTACGCTAAGAAAAATAAGTGTCACAAAAAGACAGACACTATATGATTCCACTTATGTAAGGAACCCTAGAGTAGTCAAATTCTTAGAGACAGAAAGTAGAATGGTGGTTGTCAAGAGCTGGGAGGAGGAAGGGAATGGGGAGTCGTGTTTATTTCATTTTATTTTTTTTAAAGATTTAATTTATTTATTTGACAGAGACAGACACAGCAAGAGAGGGAACACAAACAGGGGGAGTGGGAGAGGGAGAAGCAGGCCTCCCGCCGAGCAGGGAGCCCGATGCGGGGCTCGATCCTAGGACCCTGGGATCATGACCTGAGCCAAAGGCAGACGCTTAATGACTGAGCCACCCAGGCGTCCCTATTTTACTTTTTTTAAAAGATTTTATTTATTTATTAGAGAAAGGGAGAGAATGAGCAGGCAAATCGGCAGGTAGAGGGAGAGGGAGAAGCAGGCTTCCTGCTGAGCAGAGAGCCGCTCATGGGACTCGATCCCAGGACCTTGGGATCAGGACCTGAGCAAAGGCAGACGCTTAACTGACTGAGCTGCCAGGTACTTTGAGAGTTGTGTTTGATGGGTATAGAGTTTTAGTTTTACAAGATGAAAAGACTTCTGGAGATTGGTTGAAATATGAAATGTACTTCATAATACTGAACTTTAAAGATTTTAGAATAGTAAATTTTGTATTATGTGTATTTCACTACAATTTTTAAAATGCTATTTACAGTAGTATCAAAAATATTAAATACTTCAGGATAAATCTGACCAAAGGCATGCAAGATTTGTACATTGAAAACTACAAAACATTGCAAAGAGATTTTAAAGAAGGCTTGAGTAAATGGGGAGATGTACCACATTCACAGATTGGAAGACACAAAATATTGTTAAGATGTCAATTCTCAAATTGATTTATAGGGTCAATGCAGTCCCAATGCAGGCTTTTTCTTGTAAAAGAAATTTCCAGCCTTATCCATAAATTCAGATGGAAATAAAAAAGAACTGGAACAGTCAAAACAACTTTGAAAAGGAAGAGATGGGAGAACTCATACCCTTTCACTTCAAGGCCTGTTATAAGGCAGAAATTAAGACTGTGGGATTAGCTTCAAAAAAGACAAACAGATCAATGGAAAAGGGTAGCCTATTCTTAGTTCAGAGATAGATCTTAACATATGTTGGCATTTGGGGTTTTTAAAATGCGCAAAAGCAATAGAATGGAGAAGGCCAGTGTTTTCAACAAATGTCCTGGGAATAGTTGGGTATCCATATACAGAAGAATACACTTAGATGCACACCTTGTGCCAACTAAAAATGACCTCAACATGCACCCTAGATTAAATGTAAAACCACAACCATAAAACTTCTAGAAGAGAACATAAAACGAGTTAAGCAAAGATATCTGAGATTCAACAACAAAAGCATGATGTGTTAAAAAAAAAAAGGTAAAATTAGCCTCACAAAGTTAAAACTTCTGCTCTTCAAAAGACATTGTTAAGGGGCGCCTGGGTGGTGCAGTCATTAAGCGTCCAATTCTTGGTTTTGGCTCAGGTTGTGATCTCAGAGTCATGAGATTGAGCCCCATGTTGGGCTCCGCACTCAGCATGGAGTCTGCTTGAGATTCTCTCTCCCTCTCCTTTTGCCCCTCCCATTTGTGCCCTCTCTCTCAAATAAGTAAATAAATAAATATTTTTAAAAAGACACTGCTAAGGGGCGCCTGGGTGGCTCAGTCGGTTAAGTGGCTGCCTTCAGCTCAGGTCATGATCCTGGGGTCCTGGGATCGAGCCCCACGCCCAGCTCCCCGCTCAGCAAAGAGCCTGCTTCTCCCTTTCCCTCTGCCTGCCACTCTGCCTACTTGAGCTCTCTCTCTATCTCTCTGTTGAATAAATAAATAAAAATCTTAAAAAAAGACACTGCTAAGAGAATTAAAAGAAAATATGGTAAAGGACTTGATTCCAAAATAGATCACAAACTCTCAAAACTCAATAGTAAAACAAACCAATAGAAATGGGCAAAAGATTTGAACAAAAACTTTATCAAATAGGTAAAGGTGCTCACTATCATTAGCCATTAGGCAAATGCATATTAAAATCACAATGAGATACCACTACATACCTACATTGTAGTTGTGGCTGCAATTAAAAAAAGTAATCATACCAAGTTTTGGCAAAGATTTGGAACTCTCATACTTGGCTGATAGGAATGTAAAATGGTACAACCACTTTCGAAAAACACTTTGGCAGTTTCATAAAAGTTAAACATACATCTACCATATGATTCAGCCATCTCACTCCTAGGTATTTATCTAAAAGGAATGAAAGCATATATATCCATACAAAAACTTGTATATGAATGTTTACAACAGCCTTGTGTGTGTGTGTGTGTGTGTGTGTGTGTGTGTGCAACTTCCTGGAAGTGTCCTAAAAGACAGGTCCACTTTCCCTTCCTCTGTCTCACTGCCTTGGATGCACATATGATGGCTTTAGCAGCCATTTTGGGCTTTGTGGATGAGTGCCCCAGATTAGGGAACAGGAACAGATGGATGGAAGGAACCCTACCTTGACATTTTGAGAGGCCTTCAGGCCAGTCCTAATCACCAAACTCCAGACTTCTGTGTGAGAGGGAAATGCCCTCTACCTTGTTGAGAGTGTATGTGTGGTTTCCCACCTTGCCCCTGCTCTGTTACTTGCTGCTGAACCTCAACCTAATTAATAGTTCACCTCACTGTTCTTCTGGTCCATGAGTCCGGGTCATCAGTGTTGACCTTAAAAGAAAAAAGCCATCTATTTTAGCAGAAAATGAGTTTATTCAGGAATAGCAGGGGAATTGTAATTCAGGACAAGCAAACTATGGCAAATCTTAGGCCAGTCCTAAGAACAGGGGACAAGGGCTTACTTTTATAAGAGAAAGGGGGAAGTTGGGAAGGGCTGTTTCCCTGAGTTCTCATTGGCTGGGCTGCTGGGGGTGCTAGGAGCAAGTCTCCCTCCTGCTGGGATATGTAAAGCAAGCTTCTTCCTGTTGGGAAATGAATATTTGCTTCTTATGGCAAGTGGTAGTGGGTGACAGCCTTCTCTTTAGGGCTTCCTGACTCCATTTAAAATAAGGTTTCTTTTATTTATTTTCACATCAGCATCATTTTATTTTTTTTTTAACATTTAATTTATTTGTCAGAGAGAGAGAGAGAGAGAGAGCAGCAGGGGGAGCGGCAGGCAGAGGGAGAAGCAGGCTCCCACTGAGCAAGGAGGCTGATACAGGCCTGGATGGATAGCAGGACCCTGGGATCCTGACCCGAGCCAAAGGCAGACGCTTAATCAACCAAGCCACCCAGCGTCCATTCACACCAGCCTTACAAGGTGTGGGGTTAACAATCAAAACCAGCCAAAAGCCCTTGCAGTCTGAAGTCTCAGGTATTTGCTCTGACTTGTAGGGAAAGCGCCGCACTCCCTGCCCTTGCTGCCCTGAGAGGCGCTCCGTGTCCAGCCCAGGCATTTGTGGGCAGGGGCAAAGCTGGTTGTGCCGAGGAGGTGTCAGCGTTGTAATGGAGAGGGAAGAAATGGAAGCCAGAGGCTTTACCACCTTTGCCCTGGGGGAGGGGCAGCTGTGTCTGTCACATCAGTTGCGTGAATTGTGTTTTAAGGACAAGCACTTTCATGGTACTTACTTCATGTGAGGTTCTGTGAACTCATTTCATCCTCACAGCACTCCCTGCGAGTTCTGTCATAAAGGTGAGAAATCTGAAGCAAAGGAAGGTTAGTTAGCTTCAGCACTAGGTCCTGACTTGGGATTGGACTCTGGCAGGCTGGCTCCAGCATCCATGTGCCTGCCCCCATCTGTCCAGGGAAGGCCTGGCTACTCCAGCAGTCCGCACCGTGGGAGGCCCCTGGAACCAGGCAGAGCAGCATACATCCCTCCCTTTGCACTTGATTCTCTCACCAGCCCTCAATCTGGCTAACGCAGACAGTCCTCATTCCAGGGGCTAAGGAAATTCCATAAACTTTGTTTGATCCTGGGCTGGGAATGAAAAGGTGCTGAGGCCACTCACTAGCAAGGAGGGGTGTCCCTTCCCTTGGGAGAGGCCTGTGTCCCGGACTCTTGTTTCACACTAGTAGAAGGACTGAGGGCCTCTCCACGGACAGGGAGGTGAGTACGAGGCCCTGGAGATTCTTGAGTCAGCTGATCCCAGTCCATGACCACTGTGGAAAACTGTCAAGAGCAAGCTGATGAAAGTGGGGGGCATGATGGGGGGGCAGAACAGGCTTGAAAGAGAGGGTGGCTCGAGGATGTCTGATAGTCTGAGAGCAAAAGTGATGGATGTTGCTCTAAGGCCAAAACTTTATTTTTTAAAAGAGGGTTGTTTTTGTTTTTTTACTGTTTTACTAATGTATAATTGACAAAACTGCAATATATTTAAAGTGTACAACATGGTAATTTGATATACATATACATTGTGAAATTATTACCACAATCAAGTTCATGAACACAAACATCACTTCAGTTACCTTTTTGTGAGAACACTTAAGATATACACTCCAGCATATTTTAAGTATATAACACGGTATTGTTAACTATAGTCACCATGTTATATATTAGACCCTCAGATATTATTCATCTTATAACTGAAAGCTTGTACTCTTTTCCCAGACTATCCTCATATCTTCTTTATTCATTCATCCATTGTTGGACACTTGGGTTGTTTCCAATCTTAGCCATTGTGAATAATGATGCAGTGATCACAGGTTGCAGATATCTCATTGATTTTATTTCCTTTGGATGTGTACCCAGAAATGGGATTGCTGGATCATATGGTAGTTCTAGTTTTAGTTTTTTGAGGAATCTTCATACTGTTTGCTTTAGTGGCTGTCAAAATTTACATTCCCACCAGGAGTGCAAAGCGTTCACTTTTGGGTAGAGAATTTTAAGAAGGTAGTGGAGGTTCTCCAGTCTCTCATCTTCTGCCTCAATTCAAAATACTCTGAGTCCTTAGAAGATGGTGGAATCACCAAGTGGGAGGAGCCTGGATCCTTGACTTAGTATGTGGGCCACCGGAGATGCCCACATTGGGAGGATCTGTGAGCATGAAATAAAGTTCTGTCGTGTGAGCTGTGGAATTGGTGGGGTTTGTTATAGCTGCTAGCATGACCCTCAACAATATACCTTCTAGAATTCACTGTCCACTAGCCTAGTGCATCTCAAACTGTTTGTGGTTGTGGAATAGGAGTGCCTATTTTGATATCTCTAATCTGTCATCGATAGATTTTTGGTCTATACCCTGTTGAACAAGACGAGTTTATTGATCATATACTTGGATGTCTTGGCAATGCCAAATTGCTGTAAGTTTCACAATACCTACTAGCAATCTCTACACTTATTTTGCAGATCATTAAGAGTTGGTTATAATAGTAAGGTCAATCAGAAAGGGGTCTTATCTTGCTGTGTTGAGATCCTAGTTCCTAGCTCCTAGTACAGTGCCTGTTACATCTTAGGTGATCAGAGTGTATTTGTTGACTTATGAATAAATCACAAGCATTACAGGTGGTGGTTTGAGGTGGGGAGGAGGCACCATACCTGGTATAAAAACTGTGTACACTCATAACCTGACCTGAGTTCTAACCAGTTCACCGACAGTGGCTCAACTCCCTGGTTTTCTGGTAGACCACAAGTACTCCAGGGCAGTTCTGCCCTTGTACCTTCCCACCACTTCGTTTTCCCCTATGAGAGATTGGACTACTCTGGACTGCCACTGTCTAGTGATATGTGTGTCTTCCACCCTGGTTTATAAATTCTGAGAGGGTGTGGAAGGATCTGAAGTTGTCACTGTTAGGTCCCCAGAATGAGGCAGCACAGCCAAGGTCTTTGACAGCATAAATAGATTTAGGGCATGAATGCATGAATGTGGGCAGAGGGAGGCTACCCTGGGGAACCAGTGCCCTATCCTGTATCCCATGGCCCACATGCCTTGGCAGGATCCCACTGTTGGTCTTGGGATCGGGTCCAATAGGTTTTCTTGAGCGACCACTAGGAAGTGGTCGCTCCCATCACCCACCTCAAGTTGCTGGCTCAGGCTGTCAATACTTGGCAGTCCAGACATTGAGGAGCAGTTGTCCCATTTGGCCCAAATGGATACTTAGAGCCAAGGTGACTGACACTACTGTATATATTTGGTGGTTTGTTCATGAGCTGAAGAGGAGGTTACCGAGCAAATATGGTCATTATGATCACAATCCAGGTGTTGAGTATACCGAGGCATCCCAAAGAAATTGCTATGATTGAGAGTACGCAGGTTGTCTCAGAGGTCTCAGCTGCCAAGTCTGGTTCATTCCTATAGTTGTGGCGCCTTGTCTGGATTTGAGGGGAGAAGGGAAACGGGAATAGATGGCCTTAAAGGGTTATTGAATGGGAGACGGGACTGTAAGGAACGAGGGTAGGAGTCTGAACCAACAGGAGGTTACATCATGGATGTAATTGGTTCAGGTTCAGGACCAGGGTGGAGAGGGAGGAGAGGGCATGATTCATTTGACACAGATTCCTACCTGGGAAGAGTAGTACATGGCTGCACTGCCTATGGGACAACACAGCAAGTAGGCCAGGATCGACAGCACGAGGTAGTCATTCGGGGGCTCATCAGACATAATTTCAAATGCCTGGGGGCAGGGGATAGGTTATGACTCAGAATGACTTCTGGACTCTACTATCCCCTCTGACCACCTCCTATTTCATGCTAACACATCTCTCCTTGGCTTTTATAAATCTTCATTGACCCCCTTTAAAACTCATACTGACTCCCTCTAATTCCTACCATGTCCCCTCTAACCTCTCATTA